CTTTTTGGCTTGCTAAGCACTTTATATTGTTTAATGTTGGTGGAAATTCGTAAATGGCATTGGATTACTCAAATTTAAGTATACTATAATTGTATTATTTGTCCGTGAATTTTCCTAAAATGTATAAAGAAATAAATAGAAACATATGTCACAGGTCTACTCAGCTTGGTTTGGCCTCTGTTGTAAGGATATAAGTGCAGTCTATCGCAGCTCTATGACAATCTACAGACTCACCTTCAAGCTTTAGAAACACTTAACCTTACCGAAGATAAGTTTGTTTCCACTCTGTATCCTATGATTGAAAGTGCGCTACCAGAAGAATTACTTCGATCTACGAATTGTATACGGATGAAACGCGAATACATTACCAACGAACAGGTAAAATGGTAAACAACAGGTAACTGGTAAATGACTTAAGCAAATTTATGAGCTTCCAAGAATCTGAAGAGTGTGTTAGTATGTCTCGGCATGGGTTCTCAGAGATCACTAGTCCTAGCACTTCATACATTCACTGATGTGAGTGTCTTAAGTAGTTTCAAAACCAGTTGCGGGCACCGTCTAGTTCGAGCTTCTTTTAAGTATAACCTACACAAAGTGAGGTCAAATATGGCAACAAAACAACACCGAAAATACGAAAGTACGGCTTACTTTTTCGTACAGAAAGAGTTTCGCTTAGACCTTAAAAACCAATTTGACGCTTTGTGAAAAGAAAACATGGATGTGGACTCGCTAAACGAGAAACTCTGCAATATAGCTGTAGAAACAACAAAGAAACATATACACTATATGTATATATATATATATATATAATATATAAACTAATAAAAATATATATAAACTAGGTGGTAACAAAGTCAAAGAAAAAAAACTTTCTGTTACACACGTTATCTCTATTAGCTCAGAGACGAGATTTTAAACTAAAAAGTCAATTAGATCAGAGACAATTGGAGGATCTAAATAAAAGTATTCGAAAAGCTATTAAAACAAACATTATAACACACAATATGAATATGATAATAGAAATCATTAAACAAAATAAAGGACCTAATGTTCATAAGAAGAAAACAAGTAAAAATAAATCCGAAATAAATAGACTTAAAGATGGTAGGGGTCAGTTGATGACAGATCGGGACAATATTATACGTGTTGTTGAAGAGTTTTACGCAGAGCTCTATGCGTCAAAGTGAGGAGCCTGAATCGTGGAATATCCAAGATCCAAAAGCAAAGCCAGCTGAGCGACTCTTTTGTGACTGATTACCTCAGATAACAGAGGTTGGTTTTGCTCTGAAGCAAATGAAATGTGGCAAAGCATTAGGCGACGATGGAGTTTGCGTGGAAATGTTACAAGCAGATTCTCCAATTATCTTAAGACCTCTCATAAAACTTTACAACAGAGTATTGCATATTGGGGTTGGGTTTCCCAAAGCCTGGGAAAATGCCATTGTCACGATATTGCATAAAAAGGGAGACAAATATAAACTAGAAAACTACCGCCCCATCAGCTTGCTTTCCCAAATACACAAACTGTTTGCCAAAGTCCTGCGCAATAGATTAACCTAATCCCTAGATGAATACCAACCCATAGAACAGGCTGGCGTCCGGTGTGGATACTCCACCGCAGACCACATCCATACTATCACACAACTGATGGAGAGACGCCGAGAGTATGACCGACCCATATGCTTAGCCTTTGTAGATTACGAAAAGGTTTTCGACAGCGTAGAACACTGGGCCGTGTTCCATTCTCTGCATCGTTGTACTATAGACAAAAAGTATGTGGATATCCTCCGGGAGCTATACAAAAACGCAACACTCCAGGTCCGAATCCACAGACTTACCGATTTTGTCCCAATCCGACGAGGTGTTCGTCAAGGTGATACTATCTCACCCAATTCACTACTGTGACCGAAGACATCATGAAAACACTCAACTGGGACGAGATTGGAGTAAACATCGATGGTCGCAATGTAACACATTTGCGCTTCGCTGACGACTTGGTCTTCTTAGCTGAAAGCATCGAACACTCCAAGATCTGCACCAAGCATCGATGAGGGTGGGCCTAAGAATGAACATGACCAAAACCAAGGTTATGACCAACTTTGCGGGTCCTAAATATAATATAAATATAAGCAACTGCCCTATAGAGGTAGTGGACGACTACATCTATCTCGGTCATTGTCTATCCTTCAGCCCCGCTTCTCAGCTTAAAGAAATCACGAGACGAACTCAATTAGGATGGGCTGCCTTCAATTGGTTGGAAGATGTATTCAAGTCTAGAATCCCTCAATGCCTGAAGACCAAGGTGTTCAACCAACGTGTCCTACCTACACTTATTTATGCTTCCGAGACATGGCCGCTCACAAAAGAACACGTGCTCAAGATTCGAGTAACACAAAGGGCAATAGAGCGCGCCATGCTCGGAATTTCTCTGCTGGACCACGTACCAAATGGAGACATTCGATGTCACACAAAGTTTGTTGACGCGGGTACGAGGGTAGCTAAGCTTAAGTGAAAGTGGGCGCTTGGCTAGAAGAGACGATGGTAGAAGGACGAAAGCCGTTACTGAATGGTGGCCAAGAGACGCGAAAAGACCAAGAGGCAGACCACCCGCCCGACGGATTGATGGCATTGAGGCCATAGTTGGAAACCACTGGACACGACTCGTAAGGGACCGGAAAGAATGGCGCAATAATGAGGAGCCCTATATTCAGCAGTGGGTGCAGGTTGAAATGAATTCTTTTGCAGTTTAGATTAATCTACAAGGATCCGTTATAGAATATATTAAAATAGTTTTATTTAAAATATAAATCAACTTGTATTGAATAATATTTAATTTTTGAGTTTAATTTTTTGGACTCTATGTAGCAAGATTTCTTCTAATACCCTACTTTAACACGCTATATAAAATTTTTTTAAAAAAAAAGAAGAAAAGAAAATCTATTCACCCAACGGGATTTTACGTATCATCGCGTTAACAAAAATAGAAAATTTTTATGAGATCATTTAAAAATAACAACCTAATCTAAAATTCATATTGTAGCTTCTGACTTTGAAGCTGCTACATGGGTTTGATTTGATTATGTAATTCAATGAAATTGTCATGTTGGTGCCTTAGGTATTTAGTGATTTTTGAAATGACGCTACAGTTTCCAGTGCTTATTAACAATTCATTTTATTTTCCATCCTTTCGGTCATGAACTGAACAAACTTGTGCCATTCCATTAGCATACCATACCTGCTACCATTGTATACCTACTTCGGGCTAAATCCAGAACAAACAGCATCGTCTGCCTGTGTAATAAGTAGTAAATTCAAAGACCTGTGTCGCGCAGTTAATAAGTCATTTATTTGTCATCATGTGCAATACAGGAAATCTGACAGCTTTACAATCCACTAATAACAAATAAATTATCTAATAAATACACATTTTTCATAAACACACACATCGGCGGCATATTTAACGAACAAAACAAGTGAGAAAAAAAATAGTAATGTTTATATTAAGATAAAAAAGAATTAGACATAAAACAGCTATTAAATAAACATCTTTTAACCTCGACTTAGTGCAGCTTTACTCAATCCTTATTAAAAAAACTAAACAAGATACATTTAATTCATAAATTTAAAAAAAAATTACGAAATTTATAATGCTGGCTTTCCATGCTAGCGCCAACGCGCCGTGGGAAAAGTGCCGCCCCCGTGCCGGCGCGGGTTCATGTATGGGCCTATGGGGCGAGCACGCCCACGCCCGTAAAAATCTTCGTGTGACGTCACGGCCCGAATTCAAGGGTCATGAGAAACCAGCTTTTGAATAGAAAATCAACCTATAACCAATTTAGATACTTGTGTTAAAATTAAAAGAAATGAATGAAAAAATGACAGTCGACTAATTTTTTATTTTCGAATTGGACCTAACGATGTAAAATAACTAGCTAATATTTTGAAAAAACATTGAATTATTTTGAGGTTTTTACTAGTGTACCGCTACATTTGCAGGTGTGCAGAATAAAAACATTCACTACCACTTGTACAAAACTAACACGTATGTATTATTACATTAATACATTACGTGGCTGATGGGACATTGCACATTTATCTTTCTAACAACTCTATCAGACAAAAGCACTTCTATGATGTAGTACTTTAAGAGATTAGTAATATGTTTTGTTGAGTTTTAAAAGTTCTACATCTGACAGGTATTATGTATACATATAAGTGTAGCCCTACAAGAACACACTGTAGTTTATATTATTGAATATCATGATGTTTTTACTACCATATTATTTGGAAAAATAGTCCTCTAGTGTGTTATAATTATTATATAAAGAAAAATTCCTTCGATCGAATGGACACCAATCAGCGCCTCTTACCACTACACTACGAGCTACGGACCGAATCAGTAGATCTTACTAATTTCTCTGCGTGCTTGTTGCAGGTCTTTATATTATATTTGTTTTCTGCCATCAGTGCCACCTATTAACTAATCTCTAAAGTTATTAAATGTGGACTTAGACTCTATGCACACGGCGAATTCTATATTTTTTTTTTATAACATCAAGTGACGGTACGTACAAGTTGTGCGCCTGATGAAAAGCTACACGCCTGTCCATAACTGTTACAGTGCCACTCAGTGCTTTAAATTGCAAGGATGTGAGGGGTACTATCACTACGCCCGTCACCCTGAGATATAAGTTGTCAAGGCCCACGTACCTGTAGTTTCACCAGCACCCTTACCCTTCAAAACCGGAACACAGTAAAGCTGACACTACTGCTTGGCGGCAGAAATAGGTAAGGTGGCAGTACTACCCTGGACGAACTCTTTCACAAGGTGCTCATCTGCTACTAAATGTATGTATTTATAGATAGTTTTAATTTTAGTTTTGTTTGTTGATTTCAGAAATGAAGTAGCTACATGAAATTCTATATAACTTTCTTGCTTACAACGCGCTGTTTGCGGGAATTTGAATCGATTCGCGAGTATAAAATACGCCGTGTGCAAAGGCTCATACTTTCTCTATTTTGCAATCAAAACAGTACCATCAAGTACAATTAACGCTAAGTGAGTATCCAATCGTGAAATTACTAATCTTCGAAACTAACTAAAACTGATTGTCGATGTTCCATGCGAAGATTTTCATTTTTTCTTAAAGTCGTTCTGAAAAAAAAAAGATTTCTTTTATTTCTTAAAAAAACACAGAATATATGCACTTTATAATGATAGTAACATTTATAGATTTTGACGAAGAACTAATTGCAAGTAATAAAAGAATACTGAACGTGTCTGCTAAGAAACCGTGGTCAATTCAGCATTATCTTGGGGCGATTAATAAACTACGAGGTACTGTAGGCTAGGCTCTACTCTATGAGTAGAACTACTGGCTGAGTGAATATAGTTTTGTATTTAGAATGTGTTTGAAAAAATAGGTTAGAGAAAAGAACATCTTGGCAGTTCAAGAAATAGCCTCAAGAAATAAATATGTGAAAAAATACAATAAACATCTAATTATGAAGTTAATCCCAGTTTATATTTATAAAGTACCTCTCGCTACGCAACGTAAGCTACGTCTTTAGGTTACTAATGGTTGAGGCGCGAATTCCGATGTGAATTTTTTTAATATTTTATTTTTGAAAAATCTCTGAGGGAATGAAAGAGATATATAATATAGCGCTCTTCCATTCCCTAGGAATACGTCTCTAGGTTACAGTACCATAGGTAATGGTACTTCCTCGGAAGTCAGGGACAACGGCATGAAACTTTTTCATGTAATTTTTAAGTTTATTGAATGACGCGATGTTTTACTACCATGATTACTCAATTATTTTTTGGGAAATTACTCCACTAGTTTGATATAATTATAAGAATAAGAAGAAGAAAACTTTATTATGTTCGCCAAGACACAGGTGAATGAATTTAAAAACTATCATATTATAACATTATACACTTAAAAGTTATTTGCACACAAATGCAATTTACTTTTGATAATCTCACATCACAGTAAACACAATAATAATACGAGTAATAATAAAAGTAAATAAGTGTCGCGGCGCACACAAACGGGTCTTGCTCAACATTTTGCTACGGGCAGATTATCCTACATGAGTGAAGCACGGACTCGAGTACAACAATACATAATTGTTATAACAAAGATCGAAACACTAAGAAAAATTCATTCAATCTGGCTGGATTCGAAACCAGTACCCTCAGGCAATCCGTGGCAGATGATCTGCTAATTAAGCTACGGAACGAACTAGCAGACCTATTTTTTATGTGCTTGTTACAGATTTTTGTTTTTGGTTTTAACGACTTTTTTGTCATAGCGCCATCTGTCAGAAATTTATTTCTTCACTCAAAAACGTACCTTTACAGCTACCATCACTGACTAGAGATGTTGCTTTAATTACTGTAATTTATAAGTTTATTGAATTCACCATGTTTTACTACCTTGATATTCAATTATTTTTGTGAAATTATTCCATTAGTTTGTTACAAGTGTATAGATCGAAATACTATGAAAAAATCTTTCGATGCGGCTGGATTCGACCCAGCACCCTCAGGCAATCCGTGCCAGATGCTCTACCAATTAAGCCACGCAACTTCTTTTTCATGGTTCGTTATTTTGTTATTTGATATAAAAGCATGGAGTCATATTTTATGGTTTTATTTTTAAAGTAAATATCTAACTCCCTTTAAAAATGCTTGCTGTTAATTATTTAAATACAATCCAACCGTTGTAATATTATTTATGTTTTGCAACTATGATCTTCAATTTTTTTTAATTATTCGACTGGTTTGTTATAATTATTAATACAAAGATCAAATTTATAGAAAGATTCCTTTGACCCAAAAAAGTACATAAAGGAATTTTTATTTATGTTCGCTCTTTGTATTAATTTAATTTAAAAGTATAATCCAACCATTCTTTATTTCCAAACAAAAATAAAAAGCAAAGTGAAATGAAAAAGACATAAGATTAAGCCACCGTCTAAACAGCTTTGGAGTTACAGAATGAACCTTAAAAATAACTAAACTTAAAAGGAAAAAGAACGATACAAAATAGTGCGCTCCAAAAGACAACATCAGTAAGCCAATTAGGTCAAGACCAATTCAATGACTATAATAATTATAATACAAGAAAAGATTAAAATCACGGAATAACAAATAAATGTGAAGTGGGCGTTCACATATGACAACCAACCTTGTTGGACGTCAACGCTCTCTTAAGCTGCTACTAAACTGCATGCGCAAAGTCCGTATAATACAACTCCATGTAGACGAAATTGACTGCGGGCAGTCACCATTGTAATGCATTTCACATAGCATGATTTCGGTAATGTAATGTAAAATCGAATGAAAAAAGTCGATTTAAATAACTCATCGAGATAATTTGTAACGACGAAAAAATAGATTTACAGACAATAATTTAAAATTATAAACAAAATAAAAAGGATTTCATTATCATGTTATTAAGGTACCAAAAAAACTACACAACAAAAATCAAATCAAAGACAACCAAACAAAAAGTCAACAACAAAGCATACAATCAACTGCAACGAAACGAAATTTGAAGAATTACTCCAAAAACAAAATGAAAACGACTCGCATACAAGGTGTATGCACTCGTATTGACGTCAGATACGCGATAGCTGATTCGATTTATCGATTTTATGGTGTAAATCTATAAGGATAAATATTCCGTTCTATGCATCAAGAAATTGGGTTCATTTATTTTTATCTTTATCATTTAATTTTCTTTTTACTTAATATACTATAATTTTTATTTAAAATTACAACTGCAACAAATATTTTTTGTTATTGATACATTATGACAAATTTACTATTTCTATTTGTAACTTGGTTGAGAGATTAGTTAGAAATAGTATGCGTGTAACGTAAAAATTTGAAATGTCACAGGATTCATCCTACGTGAAATCGACTATACCTAACTGCAGGCAGTTATAGTCTAGAATGAAAGCAAGGACGCTACTTCTGCTAATATAACAACGTTACATTAGTACATTATATTAGTACAACCGCATAACAACGCCGCCGCCGTAATCGAAGCCAAAAACGAAAGCGTGTAGCGTGGATAGATCCACTATTGTTATATTGCTATAATACTCGTACCTTAGGAGGTGATTTTTATGTAGGTACTGTACCCGAAATTAAGACAAAATGTACACAATCTGGGATAAAAAAACGATATATTGAAAAAAAAATAACGCAAAAAAAAAAAAGATATCCTCCTGCGAATGACAATAACTACTTTTGATTCTCGGACTATAAGTTCACAACGACGCGATGACGCTTGAAATTGAAGTCTCAACTGCATTCAGTTGAGTTTCATTTCGACTGCTTGCAGTTAATGCGTAAAGTGTATATGAATGAATGAAGTTGATTACGACTTTACTCATTAACCGCAAACGTGCAGTCAATCTGTTAGTAGCCTTAAGGCAAACGTGCGCTTTACCACGTAAACCAGAAATATTCCGAGTGACTCGTGGTTTAATTGTTCTGTTTTGTTCTGTCGAAATAAAAGTAAATTCGAAACAAAAGTGTACTAATGCCGCTTTTGATACTAAAGCCGCTTGATACCATTTTCATTAGTTTGTTATTCTGTGATTAAAATAGTGAGCTTTGAGTATCGGGCATTTCAGAGAGGAAAATATTCATCCATTTAAAATCACGGTTTCGGCTAAAAGTTGCTTAGTTTTTTCCATAAGTATAATCACTTGCTTTTTATCCGATGAATTAATGGTAAGTTATACTTTGTTCGATGAAAAAATAGGCCTTACAATTTTTTATATGCGATCTCGAGCATCAAAACCGCCGGAGCCATCAGCATCCCATACAACGTAGCCAGCATTGCAGGGTACATGTCGGTGATGCCAACGGAGCTGAACGTAGACACCGTACCTGAGCATCGTGGGCGAGGGACGTACAGACGGTGTCTGATGCAGGTTTCAAGACCCATTTCGCGGATTTTTTGGAAGCTGCAATAGGTATACGAGTAAGTACTGTACCATCTCTAATACTTGAAATTACAGTTTTCGTAAAGTGTCTTTTTAATAGCACGCCATATTGGTCAACTAAATTACACCATGCAAAACTAAACTTCGAAGGTTTATAATGAACTTCCTACTAAAATTAGGATTTGGAATAATTGCAGAAAATCGTTGTATGATATACTATTTAATTAACTTAATGATATGACAGTGTACTATATTAGTGATTTGTTTTATGAAATTGCCATTTAATGTTGTGTGTTTTTTTTTTAATTTAAAAACAATAGAAGATAAAAAGGAACTGTCTTAGTAAATATGGAATCTTTTTTTGTGAAAATAATTTTGGCGTAGCAATTTTTTGGTCAAAGTCAAATGAAGTCATCCTTATAAGAAACTCAGTCTATTAGTATTTAAAAAATGCCAATTTTGTTAACTTTGTATGAAAAAATATTTTATGAAATTTGTCCAACTTTGACTCATACAATGAAATAATCGCTTTAGGACACTGAGTCGATTAGCACGCAAAAAATTTTTGATGAATTTTGTTCATTTTATGGACAACACACGTTTAATCAAAAAATTGACTTGTTTACGCAAAAAAAGATTTAATGGATCCTAATACAGTTTTCTTGTGTCTTCTATGATTTCGAATTTCCCCATACTGTCCTATTTATTAACCTAACCTCCGGTTAAAAAAACCGGCCTCAAAAGTTATTCATTCCTTAGTTTGCCACCCTAAGAGGTGGAATATATTCTTAAATTTAAACGGGACCACATCTGAGTTACCTTTTTTCCAACAAAAAAGAATCAAAAATTGGTTCAAAAATGGCGGAGTTATCGTGTAATATACATTCCAAAAAAAAATACGTGCAGACGAATTGAGAACCTTCTCCTTTTTTTGAAGTTGGCTATAAAACACTGTACACTATATTTTGTACTGAGAACGTCACATCAGACTGCACATTTTTGTTCGAAAATCGCCTCTAGTGCAACGGAACAAGATATGTCAATGTGTAGCTTGATGTTCTGGCGTGTGTACAATTCTATGATAAAAGTAATGTAATGTATACGTAGATAAAAATTTTGAAAACTTTGTATTTAGCAAGGCGCATCGTAATGGTTCAAAATACATTATTATAACACCTTTATAAACTGTGTATCGTAAACAAAGTAAATAAATTTGACTACGTCCAATTTCATTCTTTATTCATTTACGGACTTTGATCATTGTTGAACATGTCAGCTCCGTTAGAAAAACAATAGATACATAAAAAAACTCTTAATAGAATTCAAACAGACAAGTCATCTGAATAAAATTTGTGAGTTGAAGTTTTAACCGACTTAAAAAAGGAGGAGGTTCTCCATTCGACTGTATTTTTTATTGTGTGTATGTTAGGCAATAACTAATTTCAACAAGCATTTGTGAACCGATTTTGAACATTCTTTTTTGTTGGAAAGAGGGGTACCTCAGTATTGGTCCCATTTCAATTTGAAGGAAATATTCCACCTCTAAGGGTGGAAAACTAGTGGATGATTCCGGTTTCGCGCACTTTCCGGTAGCCGATTTCAATAGATTTCAACTTGGAAGAAGTTCAACTTGGCAAATAGATGCAATTCCATGAACTTTTGAGGTCGGTTTATTTTTATAAAAAAATTATTGCGTGTTTTTACGTCTTAAAATTGAATTTTAATACGTAAAAACAGTATTTTTCGCTCTAAGAACACAGGGAACAACATTTGTCTAAAGATATTGTTAATATATTTTATTTGATC